TGCAACAAGAACCGGGATGGATCACTTGAAAGCGCAAACACAAAGGGTTTTAAACTGATCCAACAAACTCTTCCAAGCCAAGTGGAAGGAATTTGAAAACTCTGACGATGTCTGCAGCATCCAATATAAGTTGGGACATGTGACTGACAAAAGGATTTCTTTGTTAACCTACCTCAACGTATCCAGTTGAAATGTGAAGATCAACCAATCTTCTGCAATCTCCCACGCCCCCAACACCCCAAAAAGTGAACTACCAGGACACCAAACATGCAGTGCCACCTCAGAACAGACCTTATGACCTGTTGCATCGCCCACACTCGCACCAATCACCCTCGGGCTAGGAGCTTCGAACGTCACAGATGGTGTCATCCATCTGTGTCCGGAGTCGCCTCACCAGACCTCGGGACGCGCAGACCGGCTCGCAACCAGCTCTCAGCGCGCTAACCTAAAGCAGACGTGCCAAGCGGCGCTCCATCAGCAAGAGGTGCGTAATCTCATGTTTCGCGGCTAAGGCTTTACGCACATCCTGCAACACTGGCCGCAGAACTGCACCAAAAAATGGTTGCTACAGAGGCGTTCCAGTAAGGCGACATGCTGGCTGTGCAAGCACTTCATGGAACGAACTGCACATGCAGCGCATGTCGTGTCCAACTCATCCAAGCGAAAGAAAACATGTGTGATGGGCCGATGGGTCAGTCAGGAAGCAACTAGCAACGGCTGGAAGTCCTTGGTCGTGACCTCAAACATTCCGACATCTATGGTCTCCGGCAACTTCCACAGCTCCCGCCGCAATCTCATCTCCTACGCACTTGGGTCGTCGAAGAGACTAAAGAGCATACAGCTTCCTCATGCCACCGGGCAGAGGGATAATTAGGGCTAGGCGACTAAAGAACACCTAAATGCAAACCACAAAATTCGAAGCTCATGAGAGGAACCTCAGAGATGGCACTCTGGATCTCTTGATCGCTCGGCTCTGGCTCACCCGTTCGATCTCGAAAGAAATGATCCACAAAGGAGTTCGGGTTCCGATTCAAGAGCGGCTCCCAAGACTGCAGCGTTGCCAGGTATTTGGCTGGGCCAGCGCAGCCAGCCTCCATGGCTGCATGGATACGTCGATAGCCATCTTCGACCCAGTCCTCATCCGACTGGAAGGCCTCTATCAAGGAAGGCCCATCCGAAGATTGAAGACGTGGTGGTATCATCAATCGCTCTAACGGATACACTTCGTTCAAAATCTGTAGCCCAGCATTGTAAGCATCCAAAGCTGTCGGCACAAATCGTTGCGGATCCGTCAGAAAATCCAAGCGTACGCCATCGTGGCTTTCAACGGGTCTCATTTCAACTGCAAGCAGTGGGGTCTGCAAAGAAGTCCGAAAAGTTGATCTCACACTGGCAAATGAATCAGCAATGATCTCTAGTGGAGCCAGACGTTCGATGGTCGTCACATACCTTGAAACCGAGTGCTTGGCCAAGTTTCGCAGGAAATCCTGCATAATGAGCCGGGCTAAAAGGAGGAACCGTCTCAACTTCCCATGTCGATACAAGTCCACGTTCTTCTCGCGCACGTTGAACCAACCTTTCTCCACGTTGTCGAACTCACGCAGCACGATGCTCTGCAGCGCGGCCGGGTATTCCTGGCATATAGCGACTTTCCCACGAGCACGTGTGGCTCCATTCACGCAAATCACATCCAGGCGCTTTTCATATGTTGCATGGCTTATGTTGCATTTTGGGGTGGTTTTTTAGAAGAATAAACCTGCACCACCCACACCAACATCAGCCGTCCTCTTTGAGGGCCAAGGCTGCCTCTGCACATGAGGAGCGCAAGTTCTGCCGGAACTCGTCCAGACGTAGAGGGCGGGACTCATCAATGCCAAAAATGTTCTCGTTCAAGCCTTGCTCACTTTGCGCCTTGATCCCCTGCAGGGCGAAAACCACTTCCGGCCGCACCCGCAGGGTAAAACACAGCTTGGCAAAGGTTTCCTCGGCATCGAAGCGGCAAAGCGTTTCCGGTTAGCTTTCCCCAAGCTCGTGTGCCAGCCATGTTTGATGAGCTGGCATCAATCTGCCAAGTCTCTGCGAAGCGATGGCGTGGGATACTGATTCGACCCTGCAACACAAGTAGCTGCCGCGCACACAAATAGACGTGAACTTCATTGAAACTCCAAGGTTCAATCTCTCGCAAGTGTCACGAGCTCGTTCTATTTTTGGCAGATTGATCTACAAACCCCACCTTTACCGTCTTTATGCCACCTTTACGAGGCCAGAGGCACCGTACTGGTCGTATCGATGGCCGTTTCGCACCGGATTCGCCCGACCTTCCAAGGTGCCGGAGGCTTGCCCTGGACGGCCTGCGCCACAAAGCCCTTCTCCACATAGGGCAACAGGAGAGTATACCAGGGATCGGCGCTCCCCTGGAGCCAACAAACTGCGTTCGGACGCTATGCACGCTATGCTTGGTGGAGGCTATCGCTAGTAGGTTGGAGGCCACCGCTACTAATAACAAGAAGCTACTACAGTAATTAACTATATATAATAGTATGATCTTGGTGAGATCCAATTCGGCGATCCCCCCCAGCCTGAAGAATATGAGTATCAAAGGTGACTCGATTCCTGGGCCAGAGTGGCTGCCGTGGGCTAGGTTGCAAACTCTGCTTGTGCATGATGCTTGCAAAAGTGCCCGCAACAACCATTCCAAGTCGCATGGCACGCGCAAAGTCAAGCTGAACTTCCTGCAAAATGAGTTCTAAGTCCGCTGTATCAACGGTGGAGCCAGGCCGTCCAGTCTTCACCTCGGGTGCTACACCCTCGTGTGCCACGTCGACGGTCACTTCACTCAGCCCAGACACTGCTTTTCGCAGCCAGTCCATCTGGTCACAATTCAGCTGCTGCACATCGTCGGTGGGCATGTTGTCAATGTAAAAGTTGTATCCTTCACGCCCCGGAGACACAAAATGAAAATGAAGCGATAGGCCCAAATCCGTCGAAAGAGAACGGGGCCCCGTTTCCACAAAACAGCCGAGCATCTGAGCAAGCAATCTGCTGCAGCACGAGACTTGTAGGCCTCCTCCACTCTGTTGGCGAAGACCTGGAAAATGGGGGGCTGTTACTAGTAACTAGTAGCGATGGCCTCCAACCAGAAAGCGATGGCCTCCACCTAGTAGCTTCTTGCTGGAAGTGTGAGTGTGAGATGAGAAAAGCTTCAATAATGCGAGCAAGTTGTGATTCACAAAAGCGGTTTTCCTTTCTGGTTGAGGCGTTCCACCTCTGGATCTTCCCCACGGAACATGACTCGAAGTCGGGGCAAAAACTCCATCATACCCCGTCTTCCACCAGCGTCTGTCGGCTCGGCGTCCTGCACCGAACAAGCTAAATCAACTCTGTGCCTGTGCAAATCTGATCTTTTCATCCTCGCCCTTAAGGAAGCCAAGTAGGCGCCTACTCAATTAAGGGAAGGGATTAGTTTCGCTCCTAGCTACTAAAGCTTCTAGGATAGCTCGCGCTTGCACTAATGATGATTTGGTTCCTTGATGTTTAGGGTACCCAGTCCTCGTACTGAATTTCAAACTTCTCAACTCTCGAATCATATTGCATCACTACGGCTCGCCGCCAATGGCCAACGCCATTCTCAGGATCCCTCCACAAGGCCAAGACTGGCAAGGGCTTCTCATAGCGCCCAGTGTCAGGATTGGTTCCCAGGGCAAGCCACTCAAGTGGCGTCCGCAAATCGAGATCTTTGTTGTCAAACGCCTCCAGAACGAAGCTTAGATGTGACAGGTGAAACGCACTCCACAAATGCACAAAGTTCAAACAAAGCTGGCAGCACACTGATGTCCTCCTATGCTTCCCACCTCGATTGGTAAAGGACTCTTATCCTCATACCAAGGCAGCGTAACATCGACACCTCTTTCTGTCAGAAGCCTCTGAATATCCTCAGCAAATTCACAAAGTCTACGATGTTTCTCCGATTTTTGTCGGCTCTGCATCAAACAAGTTGTTCTCCGAACGAGTCTCTTGTGATTCGTACTTCTTTTTTAATCGTTCAATGCGAAGCCGGCGTGGACATCTGCCGGCAACACTTCGATGAGACTCCATCACCTGACAGAGACAGCAATGCACAATGAGTTCATGTCGGTGCGTAAATTCAAAGAAATCTAACGAAAACAACAGTGCACCTTCTACGTTCCAACTTCCCTGCCTTTGGCTCGATGATGGCATATTTTGATGCGTTGGAAAGCATCAGGGCGGGCACATGTCGCGTTCTCGCGGCGAAGCCATTCGCACTTAAAGGGCGGGACTCCCTGCAAGTCTGCAAGCACTCAAGAATCGATCCAAAGTCTGGCAACAGAACACAGTTTGGCCGTTTGGCCGTGGTCGAAACATGGCGGCACTGGCCCTGCCTGGTACTGCGAATGTCTCGTCCTTGCGAAGGCCCGGCCAGTTTCTGTGTGCCTGGCTTTACCTGGTCAATTCCCGCTGGACTTTGGCAGTTTTCGCTCACATCTCGTTCGCTCTTCAGGCAGTCTGCGAGAAAAGGTATTTTTTGCACAACTCGAATTGGCCGCCTCCACCAGAAGAACTTCGCTGAAAATTGCACGCTGTCGGGAAGCTGTTCGTGGGCGCTGGGGCGCTGAGCTTGGGCGTGTCACCATGGCTCCATATGTGATGTCTCAGCTGCCTCTGTGGCAACAGCTGGAGGGACAACACTGACTGATGCAATGGGCAGAAAGCAAATCTATAAGTGGGAGCTGCATTTTCATGGCTGGCCCATGTGCCGTTTGTTAGCTGACATAATGAAATAGTAACAAGCAATACTAGCCAAGACCATCATCCTCAATCCTACTGATTCCTACTCTACGTGCTGCAACATTGGCAGCCTGTGAGCAAAACATGGAAGTCTCCATGGCCTCAATCTCCAGCTATTGTGCATGTTCCGTCTGACGCTTCACATGTTCTTCACCTGATGTTAAAACTTACCACGGCTTTCGCCACACTTTCGCCTTGTGCCAGGCCAGAACGAGTTCAAGAACTGGCCTCAGGTGAGCCAATCTCATGGTCAAGGGTCGTATGCATGTATGCACGGTATGCACACATCTAGTGTTGGAAACACATCAGATATGCATGTGGGCTCCCACTTTCCATGCACTTGTGATGGTATGGACCGGATGGCCTGAATTTCTATGACCCCGAACGCTGCAAATAAGAAGCGCCAAATGCTGAAGGCCAAAGGATTTGACGCTCTCAGCCTCACTCAGCCGCATTGACAGCTGACAAACTTCGGCCACGACACCCAAACGCAAGAGATGCTTTCTGATGCTTTCATATGTCAAACCCATCCGAAGTTGTCGACGCTCACATTTTCCGCGAAAACTGACGTCATCCTAGCTAAGGTCTGGCATGCCGCCACTTTGCCTTGGCTTCCAAGCTTGAAGCTCACACAAACCAACCAAACTCGGCCATTGCAAGCTCAAGCTGTTATCATTCCAAGGTGCCCTTGTCCAAGGGTTTGGCCCAGGTGGCTTAGCTCGTCCACAAACTGCACCGGTGAGACCATGTCAGTGGAGCCATACGTCACCTCATGTGGTCGGAAACGCCGAATCTGCGCCATGAAAACCTGTCAAAGCCTCAAACGCCGGCCTGCCGACCGGAATTCTGCGCCCAGTCTTGCAAGCTCTGATGCTCCACATAATTCCCACCACCCACCACCTTGGTTTTGGGGCATGCAAGGCAGTGTGAAGCAGCAGCATCGGCAAAGCTGTTGAGTGAAATGTGGAAGACAGGCGAAACGAACTGTGAAGCGGCAAAAACCCTTGTCTCCGAACATCCGCTCTTAGGAGGATGCAAATGTCATCGCTCTTCTAAAAGGTGCCCGGATTCTTGGAACGTCAGCACCACGTGCCGTGGCTGGAGCCTGGCCAACTGCAACATCCCAATTCTCCCTCCTAACATCTATACTATGTAGTTATGTATATATATATATATGTGTGTGTGTGTGTGCGTGTGTGTCTGTGTGTGCGCGACATGAGGTCTTGTATCATGTTTGCAAAAATCTGTTGACTCAGTTCAGGACCAAAGGCCGGCCTTTGGGTCAAAGTATAAATAATTCTCCGTGACTCCACCCTGCTTTTGCTCCATGAGAGCCTCCACAATCTGACCTCACAGCCACGAAACACGACAAAAAACTTAAAGCCAAGTCAAACTGACACGAATGACTCTGCCATGCAGCAAATCGCGAGTTCCTTCTTGGAGGCGACGATGTTCCTTGGGCTTGTTCCCCTACGCCCGAAGTGGCTCAGCCCCAAAGAAAGTAGCCAAATGCTGGTCTAAGGCTCTTGATGCCGCTCATTCCAGCAGCCAGCCTTGACAAACAGGCTGCAAAAAGACATTAGACTCGACCTTTCTTCCTTTTCTTTCTACTTCTTTGTTTCTAATGGCCTCCAACCTAGAAGTGTTGGCCTCCAACCTAGTAGCGATGGCCTCCACCCCAATAGCAAACTAAATTAGACTGCCTGTGTATAGCCTGTGCTGTACTTGGTGGCCCCGCTACGGTACCAACGTGTTTCTCACCCGGCATCACCCGATCAGTCGAGACACAAGGCATCGCCCGTGGCCATGAAGCGATCGGCTAAACCGCCGAAAGCTCCCGCCAGCGTCCCACTCGTCCCAACTGAGCACACGGTGTCACACGGTTTTCACGGTCTCGGCGTCAACGTTGTCAAAAGGTCGTCGAATTTGGGGAAAAACCTTGTCAACGCTTGTGTTCTAAAATCATATATATATATATATTATATATATATATATTATACATGTGTTTCGGAAATTATCCTGCCTGTAAACAGATTTCGGGATCTGCAAGTATACAAAATCAACACTCAACGGGAGAAACTTGCGTGTTGCATCAAAGTCGTCAAGCTCAAATTGTCCAAGACGGTGTCTCTCCCAAGTCCCAAGCCTGTCGTTACAGTTGAGGTGGTGCTGGGCATGGCCATGGTTCGGATGGTCTTCAGGTACTGCCTCTGGAAAGCGCACAGCCGCACAGCCGCTCTAAACAGTCCAAGACCAACCCGTCTGGGAGCCGGACAAGTACCTCACTGCAGAGGCATCGCCGCCAGTGCTTTCGAAGGCCTCCACTAGGCCCTGCAGCTGCTGCTGCGAGATGCTCGGCTTGGTCAACACCTTGGCGTTTTTCCACCATGCACCAATTGGTGCGGCGTCTGTCAACTCCAGGAAGCTAAGCCCCACACCAAGACTATGATTGCCTTCAGGCCCCCCCAACAAGAGAGATGAAAAAAGATCAACTTTGACAGGGCTCTGAAGTTCAGCCACAAAAGAGGCCAACAAAACTAATCCTGAGACAATCCGATTGTTTTCTTGCTCTCCTGTCGGCCAATCTGCACTGCTGCCAAGTCTCTCTCAGCTTATCCGCTAGGGTGCCCTTCTGGGAACCGTTCAGCAGCTGTTCCTGAAAGATGTTGTCACCCATTTGCTTGAATCCGCTAAGCCTTGGGCCTCCACTCATGTCATAGGCTCCAGAAGAAACATTCTGCCAAGCATCAAGCTGGGATATAGAGGTACCTAGCGACTGCGAGGGCAGTTGATCCTCCAACTCGTAGTACCTCACTCTCACAAGAAAGTAGAAAGGATGATGCAGCAGCCCTGAAAGAACTCCATGGTCTTTTTGATGTCCTGCATCTCCCCTTCGGAAACAACCAAGCTCAGTGTTGCACCTGTCCAGTTCCCGGGCTTTCACTTCTGCCACGAGAGCATGGGCAATGTTGGTGTGCATATCCTAAGGAGCTTGACCCCACCCTTGTTGACAAGAAGGAAAGAACTTCCGCCACAAACACCAGGACCAACCGCCAGCCACAAACGACAAAGTGCCCCAAGTATGTTCCACAAGTGCTTCAACCTACTAGCTTCTTGCTACTCGTAGTAATGGCCTCCAACCTAATAGCGATGGCCTCCAACCTACTAGCTTCTTGTTACTAGTGCATCAAGACACGATGCTTCGCTTCTTCTCTGTCCTTATGGCGACAGCTGGAGCATTCTCTCACGCTGCAATGACTTGAACGCGCTTGAACTATGCTAATTTCTGGGCCCGTGTAAAGCCCGCAAAGCAAGACTCATCTCTGGCAGGGCATTGATGGCTGCTGCAAGTCCAGGAGCTAGAGCTTGGCTCCCATCCTGCCACTCAACTCGCTTCAGCCGTTAAGCCAGTGACCAACTGATTTCAGCTCTACTCTCTTCGTCCAAGTCCTCCCCAGAGCTTGACATCTCAGCCCTTTTCTTCTCAAACTCCTGGCGCACAAGGCGGAACAAATTCAACCTCGCACCATTACAAAGCACCTGCTGTGCTAGTCTCCTCAATGGCTTTGGGCACCTGAGTGTTCAACGCAAACGAAAAGAACACAGGAACGCCGAAAGCACTGCCCTTGTTGCGGCTGAGGAGCCGCATTGAGAACCTCTGGAAACTGGTCACCGGCGTGCGCCGTCCAAAAGCTGTCCTGGTCGTCCACATCATACGACCTGCACGACATGAAATGAAGTGCAAAGCTGTGTGCCCCATCAAAGAAGAGCAATGCTTCCGCAGTGTGTGTCTCTCTCTCTCTAAAAAGGCTCCGTCTTCCGTCTCGGGAGATTCATCAACAGGATCTACGGGTGCACCTGGCTTTGGGAGGTGCTGAGGCATCATCACTCTCCACAGGTACCTGCACAGATTTCCGATGTCGGTTGATATGGATGAACCGTATGCTTCAAGGCCATCTTCCCAATCGTCCAACCTGCATCTTGTTCAACCTCATGCCCAAGACATCGTGCACCATCGCCTGCGGAATGCCCCCACATACTGGATGGTGATGCCCATGCAATGTGCGCAACACAAGCCACAAAAGGTGCACGTTTCGCAAACAATAGCACCCCAGTCTACCCACCCAGTCTACAGCGCCTGGTAAGTCCATGTGTGGCTTAACATCGTCACCAGATCCTCGGCACAGCTGACACGATGCACCAAAGCGCTGACACACGAACCGATGATGTTGAGCTCGGGGCGATGTCTCGATCCAGGATGATTAGGAGCGGTCCTTGATGGAAGAGTTCGATGAAGGCTCCGATAGTCAACATGTTCCAAAGAGCTCCCAAAAGCTCCCCCAAACAGCTGCCGAAAAGGCACAACAACGCATCATGGACCCAAGGCGGCCCACATGGCCTACTGAACCACACAAGTCATGGCATGTCTTGGCCATCCCCATCCCCAAACCGGCTCCGCCGCTCCGCTCCGCCCGGTCGAGCTGCGGCTGGCAGCGCCCGGCACCTCCGCACCGGCGCGCCCCCCTGCGGCGAAGAGCTCCGAGGCGACACCGCCACTGCGGTTCAGCAGCTCACGGATCCGCTCCTGGTGGTGTGTGGCACGGAGCGGCAAATGGGGGTGCATGAGCATGGGGGATGGCGGTGATGAGACTGTCGGTTTATCAGGAAGGAATGTGGTTTAACTGCCGTGAGCGGATTGAGGGTTGACATCCTCGAGTCGCACGGCAATCATCTCAGCTGCATCACCCGGTGGGCACCGAATGACAGGCAGAACCCTCATGGTGGCCACTATGGAGAGCAAGCCGTCAACGATCCGCTCTATGTACCTTCAAGCTTTGTTGGAACGGCAAGAATTCGGCATGGGTTGCCATGTGCTTTGCATCTGAGCTGCTGCCGCATCACTCGTTCTTCTAGCTGAGTGCTGTGGAGAGTCATGTAGGCCTTACAGTTCAAGCAGCGCGGCACCTTGTTACTAGTAGTTTCTTGCTCCTAGTAGTAAGGCCAGGAGCCCCTAGTAGCATCCTTGCTCCTAGTAGCGGTGCCAGGAGCCCCTAGTAGCGTTCCCCTCACAGGACGCTCTTAGAGCTGAGATGCTGCTGGCAAGTTCAAGGAGAAAAGCGAGGGCGACAAGGATACAAATGAGATGTATCTATCGAAGACCCCAGCCACCTGAGCGTGTGAGGTCAAGCACTTCCAACAAACGACGAAACGACCCATGCCTTCTGCGCGCCACCAGTTTCAAAGGCATTTTTTGCCAAATCTTCTAGTAGCGGCCTGCGTTGGTGCATCAACAACAGCACCGTCATAAGGAATATCTGGCAGGTTCTGCCTGGGAACTGCACTGGCAAAATTAACCTCATTTGCAGCAAAAGGAGGTTTGTCATGAGGTGGTCTTCACGCTCAGACTGGCACATAGCAGCTTTCATAAAGATTTTTGGACAAATCCTCCACAATTCTGCTGATGTTCTGCTCCGTGGGCTCCACAAAGTACACCTACAGCGACACCAACTTGACCAAGCATGGACATGCATGCGGCATGCCAACATTCAACGACTTCGTCCAAGGCTCTGCAGGAACATCTGCAACAGGCAGTCTTTCGCTGTTGATGTTCAAATGCAGGGTCACCTTTGCAATCACTGAAGCTTTTGAAGCTGTTGGAAAAGGCGCAGGTGAACCGCAGGCAATCCGCTTAAAGTGGAGACCCTGAGCTGCACTTCTCACGACTCGCGAGCAAAAGTGTTGCTAAAACATGCTGCCATGCGACGCCATGGTTTCGCAGCCCTCCGACTTTGAGCAGCAAGGACACCACCTCCTAGCACTCCACAGAGAGAAAAACACGAATACCTCAATTGCAACTGTGCACACGGTCTCAGGTGATGGTCACTCCTGGCAGAACTTGTCATAGACTAAGACTTTCCAGGTTGAAGCTGTGGTGAGTGCTTGGTCACCAGCATCTCCAAGGTTCAGCATGCGGAGCCTCTAGTAACCAGACCGGCAGGCTGGCCACCAATGCCAATTGACATGCCTACGGAACCATCACGCGTTGTTTTTGGGTAAAGGTTTTTGCTGAGGATGTTCATTGGCACTTGGCTCGTTGGAATTGTGGAGTCTTGGTTTGCTTTCTTGAGTTTCTAACGGGCATTGTCGCACCATGATGGAGCTGGTTTCCAGGTTCGGGACGCTTGCATCCACGCCAAAATGGACAAATCATGCAGGACCATGCATATCTAATCTGGCATTCCTAACTCCCGGACAAGCTACACAGCATTTTTCTGGAGCTCCAGGATGCTTTGAGCCATCCTGAGAGGCAAAACCACAAGCGCACTTGCAAGCTCAGAACGTGAGTTTATCTGTCTGGCCTGGGCGCCACTGAACACAAGTTCAGTTCAGCTGAGCCAAATAGTTGCGGGAAATCAATGTTTTACGGGGTACATTGCCAAGACCAGTGACTTACATACTGCGGGACACATCCGTGTCACAGTTTGACGTAACCGGTGCCAATGATCTGGACGACATGCCCTCGCCCTTGCATGCTGCATGTCCTCAGGTTCACACCCAACACGGCCCACCACTGCGGTGGCACCTCAGCAATTGTGGTTGTGACAAAGCATCACATCCCACCGCATCTCCGTCCAACAAGGCGCCAAAAAGCATCTGGCCACTCGCTAAACATGCCGCGATCTGAACCTGGGTTCAAATGGATCGCAACAATGTCACTCAAATTCTTGAAAACCTCGTGCGTAAACTGCGTAAGCAAACGCACCCCGAACTAATGGTACTATAGCACTCACACAACGTCTCTGGCGTTGGAACTTGGTACGGCTGAGGCTAGGACTTGGGACGGTTCCAGCCGACCCGCCATCGCTGGAATGGTGCTTTGTTGATTTTTGTTGTGGCATTATGACACACTATTATTTGGTGCCGGGAGGGCTGGAAATGCAGATGTCGTCGCAGGCGCAGCAGTTCGTGAACTTCGGAGCGCTGATCCTAACGTCAAGTGGCAAAAGCCTGATGACCGCCGCAGTGTTGTATGAAACTGACAACGGCCCGGAGGAACGCGCACCTTTTGGCACGCGGATGCGAGTCTTGAGCCATGGATTCATGGCGGGTTCAAGTGTCACAACTGGCTGGAGCATGACGATGGGAAAAGGCGTGCATGCTTGGACATGGAAAATCATGAACTGGTCATGAAAGGACCCTCACTTTCACACCCGTACTGTTTTACAGGTGTGACACTGGGGTTCTGGAACTCTACCGAGAGCTGTCCCGTCTTCATCAGGGCGTCCAGTTGTTCAGCTCTCATGGCTTTCGTCAAGCCGTCAGCGACCATCGTTTTGGTCGAGATCCAGCGAACCACGGTGCTGGCGTCAGCAGGCAGTGAGTCGGTGTAGGTGGGGTTTCCAACCGGCTCTCCAGCTCGCCTCCACACATCTTGGCGGAGACTGGTAAGATCAATCGCCAGGCGCTTGTCGCTGACCTCTCCACCTGAACAGTTGGTCAGGTGATCACTCAAGCTGCGGCAGTCGGTGAGCCACATGCTTGTGGTAGAGTCCATCGCCTTCGTGTAGCGGTCGGCCTTGGGCGTCTCTGCGGCTTCATTCTTGACTTCATACATGATCTGCCGCACATGTTCTGACTCTTCAGAGCCCAATTGGAGACTCATTGTCTCGGCCTGGAGGGTGCTCCTGCAAACACGGCGGATGGTATTTGAATGCCATTCGAGGAGGTAGATGGAGCCCTTTCCAGTGGTGGCGAAGGAAGGGTCTGCCAAAGCTAGCAGGCGTCCAGACTGGGACCGGTGTCCGGCTACAACTCCATCTCCAATGGCTTCCACGCTTGCCGCGTGTGATGCATCGTTGATGCTGAGGATGATGGCAGTCTCAAACTTCATAGCTCCCTTGGCATAGAAAATGCCTTTGTCACGATCTTGTAGTGCATGATGTAGGAGCTTGTTGGCATCGATGAGATGCTTGACTCGAGCTGCTTGTTGTCGGGCCTGAAGTTGGTTGACCTGGAAACTCAGGTCTGGTCGGCAAACTCGAGCAAGCCAACTTAAGCTGCCCACAACTGACCTCAGCTGGCTGATCTCAGCCGGTGTTGCCATCTCTCCAAGCTGCTTGCGCCTCTGTGGGTTGAGGAAGATCGGCTTGGTCCGATCCAGGACGCTGGGGCATGTGATGGTGATGCCGTCTTTCCCCTGGTGGATGATGCGTCCGCAGTACTTCAACTCATCACTCTCCACGAGGCCAAACTTAAACTCAGCTTGGACTGCTTCCATCGCCTTTTGCATGGCCTCTGATCCGGCCCACAGCAAATCATCAACATGACAGACAGCCTAGGAGCCCTGCAACTTGTCCTTGTTCGCCGGGCAGGTAGTAGGCAGAGGTCTCAAGGGAAATGGGCTTCAGACCATTGCGGAGCAGGGTGTCATGGAGAGCTTTCCAAAATCCTCATGGAGCATCTCTGGTGCCGTAGACGCTCTTCCTGGCGATCAACAGACTTCCAGGTTGGACATCTGGGTCTGGAATGCCTCCCTTGGGCAGCGACATGGCCAGGACACGTGTGATGCCAGTGCCTTGGAGGAAGGCGGCACTGATGTCTCCAGCTCGGAGTCTTGTGCCTGTGGATGCCGCTAAGCTGATGATCATCTGGAGGATCAGCTGTGAAGTCGTGGGCGAATCAGTGCGGAGGTCGTTGTTCTTCTCCAAATCACCTCGCACAACTAGTCTGCTTTTCCAGCGAGGTTCTTCATGTTGTTCTGCCTTGTTCACATCGACCCAACGGGTCGGCAGAATCACGGCCTCAGGATGGTCGGCCAGGAACTTCTCCTTCTCGTCAGGAGGGATGACAAAGACAGCATCAAACTGCTTCCAATTGTTCCATTCTTTGCCACGGGTGCTGTCCAAGGCTTTCTTCACTTCAGGACTTGCCTTGTCATAGTTGACCTCAGCTCCTGCACCCACTTGTCGCTTCTTCTTGTTGAAGCGCTTGGCCAACATACAGTGGAGGTGCCACTCTTCTTCTTGTTTCATGTGGCCGAGTGCAAAGAGGCCTTCTTCTGAGCTTCTTGGTGCTGGCACGTTTTGGGCTTCTCGGACAGGTGAGCGCGATCGCTCCCGTCTGGAAAGGCCTGGTGGTGGCCTGATGGTTGGTGGATGACCATCAAGAGTATCGAGGTTTCGATACATTGCTTGCTGTAGCTGTGTTGGTGCTGCTGCTGCTGTTTGTACTGGTGTATTGGGCACAGTCAATGGGATCATCTCGGTCTCGGGTTCTGTGACCTGCCGGTCAGGCATTGCTTGTTCTGCTTGTGGTAGCGGAGGTGTGTCTGCTTGTAGCTGAGGAGTTTCCTCTTCTTCAGGGATCACAGGCATGTGATCTGGTGGCTCAGAAGGTGTGTACTCCTCTTGGGGTGTTTCTTCTTCTTCAGGTGGCCCTTGTCCTCCAGGAACTTCGATGTATCCTGGTTGGCCTTCTCCCCAGTTGCGATGCCTGTAGTCATCAGAGAAGGGGATGTGTTCACGGCCACGCTCTTCTTCTTGAACTGCTTCCCTCATGCGCTTCCTTGATGGACGTAGTTCCAAAAGTCTTTTCGTGTAGATCTCGGTGCTGGAAGCTGGGCGCAGTGAGGATTCAGAAGCAACGACTGGTACTCCTGCATGGATCAGCCATAGAGTTGCCCTGCCTTCACGGCCAATTACTCTGGCCGGGCCGCACCATCTTCCTCGTCGGTGAAAGCACACGAGGTTGCCAGGAACGTAGTTGGTGCAAATGGGAGTGCTCTTCCTCAAAAGGGCTGACCTGATCCTTCTGCTGGAGTCGACCTTGCTAAAGGCCATCTTGGCTGCCTGCCTGATTTGGAGGCGAAGGGCAAAGGTGTCTTCGGACTCTTCAACTTCTTCCTGGACGGAGATGAATCGCCCTTCTGCTTCTTCACTTGTCAGGGAGGTCTCATCAACAGGCAGTTTGCCAAGCACCCATTGGTATGGTGTGAAGCCTTGATGGTTCACCCTCGTGTTCTTCACTCCACACGTCTCGGAGATGAGGGTTTTGATGTTGTTGGTGCCAATGATATTGCGCTCCTCCATAGCCGCATACATCAGTTCTTTGAAGATGCCTCCTTGGCGTTCTCCTCTTCCAAGTTGGTATGGAGCTTCCAACCCGGTGTAGCGGATGGAGATGCCATGGATGCGAAGCATGTCTCGCATTCTGCCCTGGTTGTGCATGCCCTGTCCAAATGGTGCAATCCAGCCATGGATGAAGGCTTCGGCGCATACACTGCTCTTCGGAACTCCACCTCCTGCAACCCACCAGCATTGATGGTAGAGGGTGCCGATGTCAACCGCTGAGAGGATGGTGTGCCTGTTGCCAGCCTTGTCCTTGATCTCAAGGCAGTCCAAACTCACCTCATGGTTGAAGGTGTAGCGGTTGGGCATCTTGGTGACATTGGGTCGCTCCAAGGGTTGTCGTTTGCGACAAGCTTCACAAGCAAAGGATCGACATCCTTCAATCACTGCCGGGGCTGCGTTGGCAGTACGGAGCAGTTGAACCATACTTGCCGGTGAACTATGTCCGGTCATAGTGTGCAGTCTTCGAAGTGCCAGCCTGGTCGGTCGAGGTAGTTTGAGCCACTTGTGACGTCGATCACGTTCAAGTTCCATCTCCTGGTCAGCTGCCAGGGGTGACTCTTCAAGTTGCTCTTGACGTTGGAGTTCATCAGGACTCAGGTGATCTGGTAGTAGATCTTGTTGAGGTGCTAGATCACGTTCATCTTGGATGGTGTCCAAAACTCCAAGATGCAAATCTTCTTCCATTCGACCTTCATCAACACTTTCCAGGTGGAAGGCTGCGCTGAGGTTGCGATGCTCCAGTTCAGCGATGAAGCCATCAAGCATAGCTTGGCAGAGCTGAGTTGGCCATTCTTGCGCACGTTTGGTGCGTTGTCCGCCTTCAAGGTGTTGGTGTTGGTGACTTCGATCACAGCGACATTGAGGTATTCCTTGACTTCTTGACTGGCCGTCAGGAATCCGGTGGGCTTGTAGTGCAGCTCGCCATTGAAGTGGTCGCGGAGGCCAAACATGCATTGATCACATCGCACAAGTTCAAGCTGCTGGAGGCTTTCGCTATCATAGAGGTGCTCTTCCATCAACTTCTTCATGTGAAAGCTATCCCAGAATTCACTTGTCCAGGGATTTTCAATCAGCACCTTGCGGCCTTTGGCTAGCCGTCGACGAACTAAGCCTCGAAGCCATTTGGTGAAAGGAAACCAGCTGTCTCGATCTCGGAGAATCTTCTCTCTGGTGACCTCATTCTTTGACATGTTGAGCTTTGACCACGGTCCCCAGGGTCCACAGACTGGGCTGAAGGTGATGACATAGGGGTCAAGGCGGTCAATCTCATGGTCCAGCTCTTGGCGCACAGAAGCCTTCAAAAGATCACTGCCATCCAGTGTGATGTCCACTGGTGCTGCAACTGGTAGTCCTTGATTGGCAGCGATAGAGCTCAACAGGGCTGCTCCAGCAAAGATCTCGAGGAGGAAGACCTTGCAGCCACGTGGAAGGCAGACACCAGAGCGGCGTCCACGTCGTGGTGTGGACTGGAGTTGAGACCACATTGCCTGGTCTTGTTCACCAAGTTCATTGAGTTCTTCTTCAAGTTGACGCTTCTGGTTCTTGGTCAAGGTCTTCGGTTGTTCTTCATCAAGTCGGAGATGCACCTCAGTGTTGGTAGTAGTGGAAGAAGCCGGTGACGTTGGCGAAGATGGCTCTTCAGATCCATAGTCGGTCTCGACATCTGTGTCCGTCACCGTTTGCTCTTGGCTAGAGTGCATGCCGAGCATTGCAATCTGAGATGGTAGCAGGTGCAATCCAAGAAGACCATTGAGGTCGGTGACCTTGAGGTAGCCACCAAGCAATCTGCTGTAGACCTTGTCGGGCGTGTTCTCATCGCCAAGGTTGACCTGCAACTGAAGTCGGCGTTGGTCCTTGATGGACAGAAGCAGTGGTGCATCACTGTTGCACAGTTCCGTGCTATCGATGGTGCCGATGGCAAAGCTGTCCTCCTTGGATTCCAATTGGAAGCACACTTCAAGTCGTCGTGTGCCGGAGGTGTTGACTTGACCATTGATGCCCTTGATGCTTGAGGTGGATTGTCGAAGTTCACATGGTTGAACGTCAGGGCCAATGGCTTGTTGATACC